TAAATAAACGCGTTAATGCAGCAGCATTAAATAAACGCGTTAATGCAGCAACATTAAATAAACGCGTTAATGCAGCAGCATTAAATAAACGCGTTAATGCAGCAACATTAAATAAACGCGTTAATGCAGCAGCATTAAATAAACGCGTTAATGCAGGAGCATTAAATAAACGCGTTAATGCAGCAGCATTAAATAAACGCGTTAATGCAGCAACATTAAATAAACGCGTTATGCAGCAACATTAAATAAACGCGTTAATGCAGCAGCATTAAATAAACGCGTTAATGCAGCAGCATTAAATAAACGCGACTCGACTACGAAGCCACTCGCTCTCTCTTTCTCTCTCTCTCTCTCTCTCTCTCTCTCTCTCTCTCTCTCTCTCTATCTCTCTCCTTCTTTGAGAGAATTGAGAGAGAGAGAGAGAGAGAGAGAGAGAGAGAGAGAGCGAGAGAGAGGGAGACAGGGAGAGACGCGTGGTTTCCGTAAAAGCCTCTATGTAAGGACGGTGAAACGTACGATAGAGGCGAAGTGCAGTAGTCCACGTGTTTGTCGTCTGCTTAGCAATTGTCCTGTCCACCTGGCGGGCAAACCGGTCTCAACCAATCACCGTTGCGATATGACGTTTTGTTATATTATTTCATTCTTTATACGCTTTTGATATATAGATATATATACATAGGATATTATTGGCATGCTTACCATAATATTTAACACATAATTCATTTCACATGATGAAAACAAATAAATGCCAATATATTGTGACGTACACACATGCACAACGTTAAATCAAAAATCTATACCGTAAGGGCCCATCGAAAACTAAACTGCCATTCTAGATTGATCACGTTGATGTGATAACGTAAGTGCGTTGCAATTCAACCGTTTGCCTCACATGGTTGATAGGCAGCTCTAGCCAATAATTGCGTGAATGGGACATTCCATAAACGGTGCTTACTGCCACATAAGTCGAGATTTTGGCATGCCTGTATGAAAAATACGTATAAACTGGGCAGTAGTAGTAGTAGTAGTAGTAGCAGTAGCAGTAGCAGTAGCAGTAGCAGTAGCAGTAGCAGTAGCAGTAGCAGTAGCAGTAGCAGTAGCAGTTGAAATTGCTGTTTGCTGACATTGTTGTTTGATGACATTGTTGTTTGTTGACATTGTTGTTTGATGACATTGTTGTTTGCTGACATTGTTATTCGCTGACATTGTTATTTGCTGACATTGTTGTTTGCTGACATTGTTGTTTGCTGACATCGTTATTTGATGACATTGTTGTTTGCTGACATCATTGTTTGCTGACATTGTTATTTGCTGACATCGTTGTTTGCTGACATTGTTGTTTGATGACATTGCTGTTTGCTGACATTGTTGTTTGATGACATCATTGTTTGCTGACATCGTTGTTTGCTGACATCATTGTTTGATGACATTGTTGTTTGTTGACATCATTGTTTGCTGACATCGTTGTTTGCTGACATTGTTATTTGATGACAATGCTGTTTGTTCTGCGGCAGGTAATGATCCGGCGACGGACCTGAGAGGCATGGGTATGCTGGGTCTTCTCACTGCCCTCAGTCTGCTCACGGATAGCAAGACTCTGCCACTCGCCAGGGACATACACAAGCTGTCTCTCCACGAAACACAGGTATAACATGATATATATCTGATATGCGACGATGTGTGATATGATGTAAGGTACGATAGGATACTATACGATACTATTCGATACAATACGATACGCATGTAACATGATAGCCGATAGGCGACGATGTGTGATATGATCAAGAATATAGTATATTTAGCTCATCTGACGTAGTCAGATGCAGCTTGTAGAAACGCATGATTGTCCGTCCGTGCGTCCGTCCGTCCATCCGTCAACAGTTGGGCACAAATCTTAACTGCTAGACGTACGGTCACGATATTCGGGACGTCGGGGGGATCGTGAAAAGGTCTCAGGATGACCAATTTGGGGGTCAAGGGTCAAAGGTCAAGAGGTGTAAACGGAGGGGGAATATTTCCCCCTTAACTTAAAAGGTATAGGAGGAAATACGGAATTGTGGCACAAATCTGAACGGCTCGACCTATGCTCTTAATATTTGGTGTATAGTGTGATGGGCAGGAAACCCATCACCAGTGCGAAATTGGAGTCCGTCACAGGTCAAAGGGCAGTGGGGGAAAGGTCAGATATCAGACATTTTCTGAGGACATGGCCTAATGGACAGAGTGAAAAACTTTTTTGTTTCAGCGCTGACCTACAATTTTTATCACTTTATTGAAAGGACCATGAAATGTGCTTTCCACTGACGTGCAAAGAGTAAGTGTCTGATAACGTTTTGACCCTCAAGAGGAGGGTTAAACATGGATTTGTTGACTGTTTACAAAGGACTGAACTGCTTTTGGCATTATCAGAGCCATACCTGTGTGAATATGAGGCTACATTTGCAGTTCAATTGCAAAGACAAAAGTTTGTTGAACAAGGTTTACGCTCCTTAAATCATATCATTTTCTAAAGCTGTCTGTATATTAATATCACCCTGAATGCTCACGTGGCTACCGTCATCCGAAATGTAGGCAAAAACCCGGGGCAACCCATTACTCATGCATGGGGGTGAACTGGCACTTCTATTCTAATAAACATGCATACCTGCAATGCAGATGTGTTTAATTTATTACTCACAGCTGAGCGAAATTGTCGCCTGCTGGAATATACTTGGATTTTAGCCTGTGAATTTCAGCAACTCAATGAGGTTATCTCTACTTTCTTGACTTATCACCAACGTACGAAGGGCGATGCCATCTTTGATTATTGATTACACTTGCACGCGCCATCTCGTGGCAACTATAGGCCTAGTTATACATTATGACACGATAAGACAGTCGAGCAGGTATGAAGTAGGATGCAGTGTTAGGGTTTAGTTTTACTCACTCGCTGATGCATTGCGGTGCAATAGACGGTGTTGCAATAGACGACGTAAGTTGTTCGCCAGCCCCTGAGCGGTAAAGCGCAGGTGAAGGCAAACCAAGGTGAGCACACATACAATGCTCATTAGTACTAGCACGCGTTCAGAAGCGGGTACGTACGCGCAGCTCGACCGTGAAATCTCAGCGCCGCCAGGACGCGTGCAGTTGGTCGTTTTTTCTCCGAGTAATTGGCAATCAAACGGATGGCACGCAGGAGAAAGACAAAAAAAAGTTACGACGGCGAAATGGGTGTCTGTGTAAGGAAGGGTCCCTTAGTGAGTGCGCGTAGAGAAGGGAGTGAGATGGAGATGGAGAGAAAGAGTGTGCGGTAGAGAGAAGGAGGTGATCAACGAGGGGATAAAAAGGAAAGGGCGTGAACGCAACGAGGCAGAGTCCACGGGACAAACAAAGCGAGGAAGAAAGACTTGACCTATGCACCCGGAGCGATGAGACCACCAGCATGACACTTTTACCTCTAGCCAATCAGCGTTGACGTAGGAGTGTTCTAAAAACGCGGCATGGTGGCGAAGGGCAGCAAAGTCAGCAAACTTGCTTGCGCGTGTAAGAAACATGTATATAGACTGGATGAGTTCGACCAATCTAGCAACAATATCTTGAGGGAGGGCTAAGCGAATTTATCTCACCGAGACAGATAGGTCAGTTGAGAATAATCGTACCTGTTAGTGTTTTCATCAGCAACTGTCAGTAAGTAGGGGTCAGAACAAGAGTCGGTATGTTTAATATCAGGGGTTAACTAGAAAGGGCAGTTGTTGCCAACTACATGTATCCCCCATGTTCTCCCCAAGATGTGTAAGTATACGAAGTTTGGTCGTGCTAGGTCAATTAGGGGCCGAGTTATAGAGCAGAAGGGAAATATGATAAAGGTCAAGGTCAAGGTCAAATAAAGGTTGCAGTGACCTGGTTTTGGTACGCGACACACCTTCTCCCCAAGATGTGTAAGTATACAAAGTTTGGTCGTGCTAGGTCAATTAGGGGCTGAGTTATAGAGTTGAAGGGAAATATGATTAAGGTCAAGGTCAAATAAAAGTCGCAGTGACTTTGTTTTAGTACGCGACACACATTCTCCCCAAGATGTGTAAGTATACCAAGTTTGGTAGCGCTAGGTCAATTAGGGGCTGAGTTATAGAGCGGAAGGGAAATA